ACACAACCCTCAACCTCCTGTGGAGAGGGAACAACCCCCCCGCTGCTCTTGCCCGGAGGTCTGAACCAGGAGGGTCGCAACAAATTGGAGCGTCCAAAATGGCCCTGGATGGCCCCCAGGTGGACGCGGGTGGCCCAAGATTGCTTCCAATGTGGCGCAATATGGTGTAAATTGTGCAATGATGACTTCCATCATGACTCCAAGACCCTGCAAGACCTCCCAAGCAAGGATACCCCCGAGAGAGGCTAATCATCATTGAGCCAGAATTCGGGGACGTCTAAGAGGAGGGCACGCAAGTGGAGGTTGCAAATCATGGACCCGAGGCACGTGCGCGGCACAAGGGACGTTTGAAAGAAGGAATGGGGAAATGAATTCTGGGGAGATGTCATGATCAATGATCCCGGCCATGGCAACTACCCTCCCTGGTCCTGACCCCTGGACGCTCCAGAGAAATCAACTGCCAAATGCTGCAATTCCCAGCCGAGAACGCGACCTGCTAAATTTTCTGACTCCTGGGATCTGGAACGGGAAAGAGGCGCATGCTACGGCTCTCCGGGCTGAGGAAGACAGTACTCACATGTCACAGTTGTCTCGAACCCTCGAACGACAACGCAACATACTACAGTCTTCTGCTCTGCGGAGCCTAGGGCCTAGAGACGACAACGATCACATGTTGCGGCCTTCTTGGCAACTCTTGAAACGTAGCTCCACAAAGAGTGCCGAAGTGTCACTGTGGAGCGGCGGCGGAACTTGCAGCAATCACCTGAACCACGACAAGAAACGGACCTTACGCGAGAAGACATAGAGACCCTGCCATGCGGTTTACGCTGGCCGCCAACGTGGCCCAACGCGTGGAGAAGAGGGCAATTACGCGCGACCGTACGCAACAAAAATTAGGCGCGAACGTCCGCTCAATCGACCCGTGTTTTTCCGTCGCTCACCCGGATATGTAGCTCCTCGCCTGTCGCGCTGGCCTGGCACAAATGAGCTCCATGCACGGCGGGTGCATCGTTTCGTTGCTCGCAAGCGCGCACGGGATCCCTCCAGTGTGCCGGCATGCAGATGAGACCACCGAGCTGGCGCCCTTTGTGGGTTCTCTGTGGTGCATTCGCAGCATGAGCGCGACATCAGCGTCGCTCCGAGGACGCCAGGGAAAGTGAGCAAGAGGAGCGGGGGGTTGCACCAGACGAATTTTATAATTCGCATCGCGGAGCTCCCTCTGGACCTTTCCACTGATGTGCTCTGAACAGAAGTTTGAAATGAATCTAACCGTGACGGTTAAAAATCTTCCAAACCTGCACCAAGAACGCACAGGATAACCTCGAGACTCGAATTGTCCATCTTCGAAGATCCTCCCTCCCTTCTCTAGCTCCCGCCACTCCATCTCTAGTCCTCATTCTAAGCTGCCCCTTGCGAGGCGCCGCCATAGTCCCAGCCCCTCTGTCTACACTCGCCTCGCCCAAACGACGCACGCCTCAAACGGATGGCCTACACAATTGGCGCCGGGATCATGCGAGAAACCCACGCCATCGAGGCAATATAGTGACAGTTTGGAATTGAGTTCCCTTCGAACTGTTCCTATATGGCGCCATGGCACACAGTGGATATTAAAGGGCCGCCAGACAAGTATTGTAAGCGAGAAAAATGGGCACTCAGCGTCTAAGAACGGCCCAGATCTGGCGATGCTTTCCGCCAGAGGCTTGACGCACGACTGTTGCATTGCACAAGGGACTGATCGAACACACATGCGACGCATTACGCAAACTGCCTCGCTGCACGGTGGCGGACGCATCACACAGATGTCATGCGTCTCTCTCTCTCTCTCCCTCTCTCTATATGTATAATGCATGTATAGGTATATCTTTATGCGCATACATAACTACATTTTCACACGTGTGTGTAACTATGTTATATGTGCATACGTATATACACATATCTCTCTATCTATATGTGCATATCTATACACATGTTTATATATATATATACAAGACTGCATTGGCGCTTCGCGCCATGCGCCTTGTTCTGGACGCTTCCCCGGCAAAACACTATTCACGCGCGACGGTGCTTGCAAACGGCGAAGCATCAAACTGACACGCCGAAGAAGTCGCAGTAACTCCGAACAGATCGATCGTTGGTCGCTTCCTGCATGTCTGGAGGGCCCCAGGCATTCCACAAAGTCTTCGATCGTCGAACTTCGAATCTAGATCCGTTGCCTGTCTCTCTCGATCTAGAATTTCAGCCTCGAGCCCCAAGCGCGGAAACACGATCGTCGGGTCAACTCGATGTACTTCGCAGGAGAACGCCGTCTGGGCGTTTTCGGGGCTCTTTTGGCCGTCCTGGGGCCTTCTTGGGCCGTCTTTGGGAGCTGGGGCCCTCCATAGGTCTTCTGAAGCCATTTCGGGATCTAGGGCCTTCTTGGGGGCCTCCAGTGGCCTTCTCCCATGGCTTTCGTGGATCTCTCTTGGAAGCCTTCTGGGGGCATCTTGGGCTTTTTGTGGGCAATCTCGGGGCTTTCTGGGGCAATCTTGGTGCCCTTTTGGGCCGTCTTGAAACCCTCTGGGGAGCCTCTTGGGCCGTCATGGGGCGATATCGGGGGCCCATCGGGCCGTCTTGGACGCTGCGAAGACCCAAACAGCGGATATGCTGAAAATGCAAATTTCCCCAAGGGAATGTGACGATTTGTGCTTCTTCGGGGCTCTGTTAACGGCCTCTTGGGGCGTCTTGGGGGCCTCTTTGGCCGTCTTCAGACCATCGAGGTTCCTCTTGGAGCGCTCTTGTGCTGTCTTGGGTCTCTCTTGCGCATGTCCGATGACCCCTCTGATCGCCTTGAGTCTGCTCGCAGGGCCCGACAAGGCGCCCCGGGAGACTTGGAAGGGCTAACGGACCTTTTCCAAGGGCGTCCAAGGGGCCTCCGAGACGTCCGAAAGGGCGTCTGGGGCGTCCCTGGGGGGGGGTCCGGTTTAGGGGTGGGGGGTGGGGGGGGGTGGGGTGGGGTGGGGGGGGAGGTTTCCGGGTAATTAATTTAAAAATATTGAAAGAATGATATCTATATTCATGCGCGGAATAAATTCTCGACGTTGGCGCTGTTCGCGGAGGCAGCGGCGGGGACCACGAATGTTTTGGGTCCCTACCAAGCCCCATGTCGGGTCGAAATCGGCGCGCTCCCCAGAAACGCCAACCACGGCATTCACAATGTGATGTCAATCGGTCGAAGTTTCCGCCAGCGCCCACATGCATTAACACTAACACACACACACACACCGCCGAACACATGACAAGAGAGAACTCGCAACTTGCATCACATGTGTTGCACCAGATCGGTTGTCCAATTCAAATTGCACCGCGCAGATCGCGCCGCGTACGTTGCACGTATCTAGATAGGTCGCATAACATAGGCTGCACTGCGTAGTGTGCACGGTGTACTGATCGCACGCACTAAGCGCGCTGCAGTCACAGTGGGCCTTGCCTTCCAAAATCTTGATTGTCCACGGGGGCCTTGCAGATCCTTTGTGGCCGTTGGAGAGTATGTATCGTCCTTCTGGAACTACCTGAAGGTCGTTGGGGATCTCGGACAACATCATTAACTATCTCCGATTCTCTTATTGTTTCGCTGAGAGTCCTCAAACCCTTGCGTGCCCTTGAAGACCACTGATGTGTCGCCAACGTCCTCGAGGACACTGAAGAATTCTTGAGGGTATTCCAAGACCCTTGACAACTCTATAACTTCGTTGGAGGTTCCTGATGGTCGCGAACCCATGCGCAGACTCAGCTGCACGAATCATGCGCACATGTTGAATCCTCCGACCCCCGCTTGCCGAGGGTGAAAAGGTCTGTAAGATCTCCCAAAAGGGCCTCAGGAGGCACAGATCATTGACCTTCGGGCGCATGCAGAACCAAAACGGAACGAGAGTTTCCCCAGACTGGCCCAAGACAGCACCAATAGGGCCCGAAGACGGCTCAAGAGGGCCCCGAGACGAGGGGCACAAAAGAGGCCCAAGATGGGGGAACCAGCAGAGACCCCGGATCCCCTGTCCATATAAGACGGGCCCCAAGAGCCCCAACATGATCCCAAGAGGCCCCAAGAAGACCCTGGAGGGCTCTAAAAAGCTCCTGGGAGCATCGAATAAGCTCCACAAGGACGCCTATGGGCCTCCAAGGGGCCCCCAAGAAGGCCCGCAGCAGACGCGGAGGAAGAGGACGAACCAACAGCAACTACACGCAACACGCAGGCAGCAAAACGGGAAGTAGCAAACGCTACACACGAGATCGGAAGCCGCACATATCCTCTTCTGGAGGTCGGCGGAATGGCGTAAGCCTCTTGAACATGCAACGCGTTTCTGTCATTGCAATCGCCGCTCGTAGTATGGGTTTGGGCCACTGGCACCAGGATTGGTAGCCACACGCCGGGATCAGGCCCGCAACGGGGGGGACAGAGGGTCCCTCGTGACCCGAGATGGCTACAAGAGTGTCCAGATAATCAAAGATGGCCTCACAGATGACACACAAAACAGCCCGAAATGGCTTCCCTCACGGGTCCAAAATGTCCCAATACCAGGACCAGATGGCTCTGAATCTCTTAATGGGCACGGGGCCTCCCAATGAGACGCCCGAGAAAGCAACACCGTTCAAAAACAATGCTTTTCAACTATGTGTGCAGTCTAGCCCGATGGGCGCCCGAGGTCTCAAGATGGCTCCAAGATCGCAACAGGGAGACCCAAGAGGGACCCATCAAGGCTCCAAGACGGCCCCTAGAAGTGATTTTGGTTTATCGCAAACATCCTTAGGAGGCTTTGACGACAGAGTACATCCAAAATGGCCTCAGACGTAAATGCTCCAAGTGGCCTCACCCACCCCCTTCATACAAGGAACCCCCTGAAAGGCAAACATCGCAAGCGACTGCATCGATACCTCAGACGGAGAAAGCAAAACACAGAGTATCTTATGGGGAGAAGGGATGGGGGAGGGGGAGGAGGAGGAGAAGGAACAAAAAGGATGAGGATGAGGATCAGGAGGAAGGGATGTGCGAGGCTGGGCCCCGCGCCGTTCCTCGGCCGGGACAAGGCGGGCCGGCTCAGTGCCCAGTCCCCGCGAGCTGCGAGAAGAACGGCGTGCCTCCTGCACATCGGCTGCCGCGGGGATGAGGTTGACAAGAACTTCTCAGACTCTAAGTTCAATCTTCGTCACCGTCGTGATGACGATGCTGATGGTGATAGTGATGATGACGATGATGATGATGATGATGATGATGACGATGATGGTGACGACGATGATGATGCTGATGATGATGATGGCGATGAGGATGATGGTAACCATTGTGATGGTGATGCTTGTGGTGGTGGTGATGATGATGGTGATGATTCCCCCCCCTAAGCACCACGACCACTTCAGGCTTCTTTATCACCGAGGCGGAGGGCGACGAGGGAACGAGAGCGCAAAGGAGGAAGACGAGGCCGAGGGGGAAACAACGACAGGAGGGACAGCGCAAAAACGACAACGCAGGAGGACAGGGAACGAGAGGGGAGCCGACAATACGACGACACAAGACGAAACGAGGCAGAACGACAAGACAAAAGAACGGGACCGGGGCCTCAGAGACCGCCTTGAAGGTGAAATTGCGACTGGCCCTTACACCACCCTATAAGAATTCCATATCTCTGACTGTTACCGCGAAGATGACGCTGCGAATGGCACTCACACCACCCAATAACATATCCGTATCTTTGACGGCTACCGCAAAGATGCTGATGTTAGCGGCCCCGCACCACCCTAGCAGGAACCCCAATAGCTCAACGAACCACTATATACCCTTTGAACTTACCCTGGTAAACGGCAACACCTTGCCCAACGCCTCGCTGTACTAAACCACTGCCACGGATTCCTCCGCGAGTGCGGGGTGGTACTGCTTCGGAGGCACACTCGGCACGAACACGACGGACTGTCTATGCAGATGCCGTCGTCGTATTTGCTCCCATCGCCAGGCCCCCCGCCAGGAGAGCAACGAGGAGAGGCGGGAGGAAAGCAATGCCCCGAAAATCCGCATCTCCATTAGCACCTCCCTGACGAGCAGCAGCCCGACGCAGATCGACACCGCCATCCTCAGCAGCGCTCTGATGCTCCTCATCACACTCGGCACCTCCCTGACGATCAACAGCTCCATGCGAATCGATACCATCATCCTCTGCAGCGCCATGGAGATCCGCATCCGCATCGGCACCTCCCTGATGGTCTGCAGCTCCGTGCAGATCGACCCCACCATTGTTGGAAGCGCTCGGAAGATCCGCATCTCTAGCGGCACCTCCCTGAAGACCAGCAGCCCATGTAGATCGACACCTCCCTCCTCAACAGCACCCCGAAGATCCGCATCCCCATTCGCACCACCCTGAAGATCAACACCTCTGTGAATCTCATGTTCTCCCATATCGCCTTCTCCAAGAGCGGCAGAAACCGCAGCACCAGGGAAGACGTCCTCCTCACACTCACGAGTGTCATCACCGTCCATAGCCACGCATCCAGGGCGTCCGCATCATTGCATCTCGGGACTCTCCATGTAGAACGTCATTCTCCTGAAGTTCAGCATCTCATTGTCGATCGCCTTGGCTCTGAAGATCACCATCTCCAACATCGGCATCACCATGAACAACATCGCCATGAAGATCAGCGTCACCATGATCGGCTCCATGAGGCTCGGCATCTGGGGGGCCAGAAGCCTCCGCCAACTCCCGCTCCAGATTGTCCAAGGCGGCGTCGGCGCACCACTTTGCATGCGTGGCTGAGGTTCTCCAGCTGCTTGGCCACCCGCTTTTCGAGGCGACGAGGGGCGGCCCGCTGGCGAGCGGACATCAAGCCCTCGCGAAGGTTGGGACGTGCCGCGCCTGGTGCTTGGCGATGAGATCCAGGGCCCGCTGGCATCTGAACGCAAGGATCGCTATGGCCCCATCGTCTCGGGCACGCGGCCGTGCCATGAGGAGAGGGCACCGAGTTACCGCAGGGCTCGTGACGCAGAGCTCCACACAGAGCTCGAACCCGAATGGCTACGGATGGGGATGCTGATGATGATGATGATGATGCTGCTGCTGATGATGCTGATGTTGATGCTGATGCTGGTGATGATGATGCTGCTGCTGATGATGATGGTGACGATGACGATGAACAAGAGAAGGAAGAGGACTAGGAGGAGGATGAGGAAGAAGAAGAGGAGGATACGGGGATACGGAGGAGGATGAGGACGACAACTATGAGGTGGAATGGGGTAGCCCACCCGAGGATCGGGATAAAGCCCTGTCCCCTTCTCGTCCTCATCCCCTCCGCACGCTCAACAGCGCACGTGCGCACGCAAACATGTACACATACACACACACACACTCTCGGTCCGCGCAGGAAGTCTCGCATGCGGCTGCCTGCGAACGCGCACCACCGCTGGTAGTGCCGCAGCCGCCCATTCGCCTGCCAACCCCTTTCACTGGCCCACGCGAGGGCCAAGTGTTTCGGCCGCCGTGCTCTACTTGCTCGTCTCGTCGCTGCGCGCGAGGCTGCGACCGCCAAAACGTGTGTTGGTGTGTGCGTGTGTCTTTACGTCTGCGAGCCTTTGTGCGAAAATGCACATCACTCCACATCAACATGCTCGGACGCTTTTCGTATGCACATGTGCGCGCACCGTGTGATATTGCACCGTACTTGGTTGAGGCCTGCTTCTCCAATATGGACGGAGGGGGAGGAGGGGAATGATATGGGCGGGGCAGAGACTAACTAACGAGCAGGAGGGGAAATCGAAATATGAATGGGAGGTGGGCGGGAAGAGACAGCTGACGAGGAAGGAGCTCGCAGAGCCCCCCAGGAACCACCCCGAAGCCCCCCTCAAACTCCCGAGGAGAGCCCAGGAGGATCCTTTCCCGTTCCCCTCCCACCCTTCTCCACGCGTTTCTCTTCCTAGCAGGCGCGTCTGCAAGTCGGGCGTGCTGGACACCGAGGACCTCTCCCCTTCCCCTCCTTCTCAGCAGGCCAGGCCTCCCGAGCATGGACGAGTGTTGTCCCCTGGCCTGGGATCGTCCTGGCAGGGCAGCAGCAACTCTGCACGGGCGGGGCGGCTGCGGCCAGCAGGGCGGAGCGATCGAGCCGGGCGGCCGCGAGCGAGCCGCGCCCGAGCGACGGTGCAGCGGCGAGCCCGAGCGCGCCGAGCCGAGCGCTGACGTCGGCGGCGGCGCGGAGCGGAGCCGGAGCGACGGCGCGCGGCGGGCGGATCGGCCGCGGCCGCGCGCCTGGGGCCAGCTGCACGGACGAGGCGTGCGGGAAGGCGGCGGGCCCGCCCACCCCGTAGGTGTGGACGGCGCGCTGGCTCCCCTGGCGGCGGGCGCGGCCGCCGCGGAGGCCGCCCGTCGGCGCCGCCGCCGTCGCGGGCGCCTCCAGCCTTCGCCGCCCCGACGCCGCCGCCGCCCCTGCCGGGCCGCCGCCAGGCGCGGCCGCTGTTGGAGGTCGCCGCCGCCGCGGGTACCGCCGCCAGTGGTCGCCGCCACTCTCCGTCGGGTCTTCGGGTCAGCGCGGGTTTCCGGCGGCCGTTCGGGGCCACCCTGGCCACCCTCGGGAGCGTTCTCGGCGAGGCGCAGCTGCTGGAACGCATCCTGACGGCGGAAGACCGCCGAGGACCGTCGGAGCCGTCCGCAAACCTTTCGCGTCCCCCCGATCTTGTCCCTTGGAGGCGGCTGGGGGGCTCTGATTTGGATGGGCCCCCAGAAAATCCTGTCAAGCAAAACATGGAACCAAACTCCGCTCAGAATCGGTCCCCGACTCCTCTCGCGGCCCACGTGGTGCAATTTCTCACCCCGGACCCGTTTTTGCCAGTCCCGGGCCCCGAACACGGCCCCCGGAGGTAGAAAAATGCAAAGCACCCTTTTTTGGGCCCACAGCCTCGGACCTCGCCCCCCTCCCTTCCTGCTCGCAGGAGCCACGTGCCGGGCCACCTCGGACGCCCAGTCGGCTTCCAGTTATCGGGACTGAGACGCTTGACGCTGACGTCTGGGGACCGCGACGCGAGTAGCGTCTCGCGCCGAGGCGTGGTCTGCCGGAGCCGGCGGAGCGATACGCTAAGCCCAACCCCGACCGTATCCCTCGCCATGGAAGACAGGGGTCCTGCAGGACACGGGCCACGAGTTTTTTTTGCTGCCTGCAATTTTTGGGATTCTCGGGGCACTCCACGGGCCGCGGGACCGTCAGAAAACCGCTCAGGATGAAAAACTGGGGACGGCCCCTGAGGGATCCAGGACCCCTTTCCCTCAGGATCCGTCTCGTTCATGCTACGGCGATGGCATTGGATAAGGAACCACTTGATAAGGAATCCAGGGTCTGGAAGAAGGTGGAACGTTGACTGGCCACGGATATCACCGCCGCCCTCATGGAACAAGGATTCCCCCAAGGTCTGAAGCCTCCTGGGCACACTCCCCAACCAACGCTCCCACCGTAACGCATCCCCCCCCTTTCGTCCGATCCGACGATCCCCCCCTTCGTCCGATCCAACGATCCCCCCTTGCACGCGGGGGCGGCGCGCGAGCTTCCGCCACGACGGTGCGCAGGCGCGTTGGCTCGGGCACGCGGGCGCGGGCGCGGGCGCCGCTCGACCTACGCCGGGAGGGCAGCAGCGCTGGCCATAGACAACGGCCGCCTAGATGGGGTCCGAGTAGATGGGGTCGAAGGATCGCGCCGCATCGCCAATGCATCGCCGATGTATCAGCCATGCATCGGCGATGCATCGGAGACGTCAGCGACGCATCGGCGACGTCGGCATGAAGAACATCGGGCTCCACATCGAGCCGCATCGCCGATGCATCGCCGATGCATCGGCGATACGGCGCGATCCTCCGACCCCATCTACTCCGACCCCATCCAAGGGGCCTAGAATAGAGGAAACGGGTCCTGAGGGATTCCCTCACGACTCGCTTCCTTCATGGCGAGAGCTGCCCTCCACGGGCCCCAGGACTGTCAGAAAACGACCCATGATGAAGAACTGGTCCTGGGGGAAGGCCACCGGTGTCCAGGATGCGTTTCCCTCAGGGCCTGCCTCCTCCATGCTAAAGCTCCCTCTCCTTTGACAACGCTGCAACTGGATCCGCGCGCGCGCGCAGATGCCAATCGCTCAGCGGAGCGCCGCGACGCAGGTGGGCCCGAGTCGCCGGAGAGCCAACGGGCTACACAAGAAGGACATCTCTCCGTGGTCGGGTGACTGGACCCAATCTTTCTGCTGCATGTCTGGAGCCCGATCGATCCGCGAGGGTCCGGGCCCCCAAAATAGGGCGAAATCGCCGTTCAAAAAACTGCGACGTCGAGGCTCGCAGTGGGAGGGGAATCGCCGCCGTCGTAGGCATCGTCGTCGCTGCCAAAATTGGGATACTGTCAGGAACTTTTCTCAGCGTGTCGCGGCGGCGGCACCGGCGACACGCCATGCCCTGTGAGCTGATACCTAGCGTGTCGCTCCGCTCCGCGGGGCGGGAGGCTGGGAAAGGCTCGGGACGTTGACGCTTGGAAACCGGGGTGTGGTTAGCGTGTCGCTCAGCAAACGTTCCTGACCGTAAAGCCCGCCGATCTGATTTGTCCAACCCGCGGCCCCAGAGGTCTGGACCCTTGCCCCGAGAGTAATTCTGAGTCCCGGATCTGTTCTTGACGGCCCGGGGTCCAATGACGGGCCCCAGGGGCCGAAATAGGGGGAAAACGCGCGGGCTGACACATAATATCGCCAGAGATCTGACCGTATCCACCACCGCCATCAACATGACTACAGGGGCCGAAATAGGGGGAAAACGCGCGGGCTGACACATAATATCGTCAGAGATCTGACCGTATCCACCATCGCCACCAACATAACTACAGGGGCCGAACTAGGGGGAAAATGCGCGGGCTGACACACAATATCGTCAGAGATCTGACCGTATCCACCACCGCCAGCAACACAATTAGCCACCACTGCCTCCACCAAACCATCACTTCGGACGGCATCTTCATGGACCCGACCTCTCCCGGCCCAGCCCCTAGCCGTGACATGCCACAGAGGTCATGCAACAGAGGTCTTGGCCCGTCGAGGCCGGGTGGCGGTCGGGACTTTCTGTTGCCCTCGAGCGCTCCAGGAGGGGGGAGGAGGGAACTGGGGACCTGTAACCCCTCGCGACGTGAGAAGATCGCAACGTTTCTTGCCCGTTCTTGTCGTGGTGCACTTTCTCACCGTCGGCCTCCAGGGGCCCGCGCCAGTCCCTGGGACCGTCCGCAGAACGACGCAGGGTAAAACGCCAGCCCCGAGGAAGACGTCCAGACCTCCATGGGGGCCGTGGCACGACAGAAAAGCCACGACGTCGGGGGGGCCACGGGGGAAGGCCCCGCAAAGCTGCCCCTGGACCTCTCCTGGGGCGCGCCCTGGCCAGGACCGCTGGCCCGGGAGGCGAGAGCGCCCCGGGAGGCACCCCCAAAACAGGCCACAGACGTCGGAACGCCCCCTCGCCTCCCCGCCTATCTCCTCCTCCTCCTCCTCCTGCTTTCTTTCCCTCTCAGCCACCCTCCCTCCTGGAGGAGGACCAGGCCAGTACTTGCCGCCAGCCGGGCATACGATGATAGGGGTTGGTCCAGCTTCAGGCCGAAAGCGAGCATGCAAGGCCGCGTCGCGGACTCGTGCGCCCGATCGACACGGGGGACTCCAGAAACCCTGGGTACGCCGACGTTGACCTCTCTTTCTCTCTCTGGTAAGTGTGTGTGAGAGAGAGAGAGAGAGAGAGAACATGATTCACTTGTTTGTAAGGTTATAGATGTCGTCCTCCGGCCTATCGCGCTGGCGCCGCCTGCTCCCGGCAGTCTGTGCTGCGCTGCGACGGATGGGTAGAACGGGGAAGGAAGAAACCGACGGCGAACGCGCAACCAACTTCCGCTGGCATTCCACCAACATCTGCCCATAAAGCCGCCCGTCCTTTAGTACTCCCGCCCGCCTCCGCCCGGAAGTCTAGACACCGAGACTTCTTAAGGGCGAGGCCGCTGTGTGGAACGTCCCAGGTGGAGGCAGGGTGCGAGGAGAGAAGGACGGATGGGGATGAGGGGCGCGGGACTGGCCAATGCTCAGCGCTCCCCCCCAACACCCGTTTTTTAATAAGCCGACGGCGTCTTTGAGGAACGCACGGGGCGATAACAAAGTACCCATACTGCTGCTCCCAGGACCGCGCCTGGGGCGCATTCAGACCAGAACCTCGAGAAGGTCCAGCCGTGGCGACGAAGGCACTCTGGACGAGCAGCGGCATCGGTACATGTTTTCTCATCTGACCGCCAGGGTTCGTCATGCATACCCCTGACGTCGTGATCTTTTCACAGCGTGGATCCCCGATGTCTCGACCCACTCCCTGAAACCAAGCTTTCATCCTGGGTAATCTTTCAACTGCCCTGGGGCCCGGCGAGGGCCCCAAAGGCCGAACATAACAACAACAAGCACTCTCGTTTTTTGCTCGCAATGTATCCCCCGGAAATCTCGACCCCATCCCAAAGGGCCGGGTTCTCACCGTGGGTAATTTTTGACGACGCGGTGGCCCAGCGAGGGCACCTGGAAACCGACAGTGACCAAACACCGCCCGTTACGATTTTTCTCTAGGCGCGAGGGGGTCTGGTTTGGCGCGCGCTTTGGACTGTGCAGCTCGCGCGGGCCCCAGGGAGCGCCAGCATGTTCTGCTGGCTGCCGGGGGGCGCCAGCTGGCTGGTCAGCCCGAGCAGCTCCGGGGGCGCCACCTGCGCCTGCGCGGCGCCGCGCCGTCGCTTGTGGTGGCCCCGCCCCCGTTCATCTTCCCGAAAGCACGAAGGACGCAGCGAGACACTGAATTCGAGAGGCAGGGAGGGGAGGAGGAGGAGGAGGAGGAGGAGGAGGAGGAGGAGGAGGAGGAGGAGGAGGAGGAGGATCCGTAGCCGTCTGGCTCAAGCCGCTCTGGCTCAAGCCGACGCCAGGCACAGGGCCTGCACGCACCGCTCTCCAAGAGCCGCCAAAGGCTCGCCAGCGGGAAGAATTTTTCTCCATACCTTGCTGAGCGTACAGCCATGTCGTTTGGCAAGGGCTGGTCGAAAGGGAGCGGCAAGAGTGCGGGCAGCAGCGCGCAGCAGCAGTCCTACTCGGGTGGCTGGCACGACCAACCGAGCCCCGCCAAGTGGAGGTGCAGCTGTGGGTGCGCCAAGAATCAAGCAAGTTGGAGCTGGTGCAAACACTGTGGCACGCCGCGGTCGTCAGGAGAGGTCTTCGTGCCGCGCGAGGGCCCCTACGGCGAGCCGATGGCCCAGGGTGTCCTTCCTCCTCCTGGCCTTCACATTGCACCTCAGCGGCCCGTGGGAGCCCAGGGGACTGGCAGCTGCGGCGGCGGCCAGGACCTCAAAGGCCTCACTGATGCGGAGTTGCAGAGTCTGGAGCAGCTGGGAGCCAAGTCGAACAATGTCCAGCTCACCAACGCTTGTCAGCAGGAGCGTGTGCGCCGTCACCAGCCAGGGCGGGCAGCCCATGACGTGGCAGGCGAGGCGCACGCCAAGTTACAGTACGTGGAGAAGCAGCTCTGGGGGGCGACCGAGACGCTCGAGCGCCTCACCAAGCAGCAGATTGAGCAGCAGAAGGTGGTCACTGACCTGGTTGGCAGGGTCGAGATCGCCAAGTCAGAATACCAGCAGGCGGTGGCGGTGCTGCACGCCAAGACCCTCGGCCAGCAGCAGCAGGGGCAGCCGCAGGCAGTCTCGTCCAAGCTGTGCATACGGGACATCTTGGACGGCAACATCCAGGACATCTTCGTGGACGATGAGAGTCTCTTCGGTCTGGGCGATGTGCAAGAGCTGGATGCCGCTGACAAGACACAGCTCGAGGAGCGCAAGAAGCTTCTGGCGGAGGGCCTCAAGTCGGTCACGGAGAACCTGTTCAGTTCGGTTAAGGAGAAGGCGGAGTCCCTGGTCCTGCAGCACAGGGAGCACTCGGAGCGCCTCAAGAAGAAGCGCAAGGGCGGCGACGGCAGCACTGAGGAGCCGCAGATGCCCGCGGCTGCGGCCACGCCTGAGGCACCGCCAGCCGCAGCCGCACCTCCGACTCCATCGTCGGCTGAGTCTGTTTCCCCTGACGCCCTTTCTCGTGCCAAGGCAGCCCTGGCCGCCGTGGGCGAGAGCCCGCAGCGCTCCTAGCCAGCAGGAGTGCCGAGCTGCCTGCAACCTTCCCTCCGTGCCTCCGCCCCCCCCTCTTCCTCCTCCCAAGTTGCAGGCAGCGAAGCGCCGTGACGAGTTTGTAGTGGAGACTGCGAACTCGTCGGGTTGGGGGCCTCTTTGTCGTTTTTTGGCTGAGGAATCCAGAGCCGATGTGGTTTTAACCCAGGAGATTGGCCGGGCTCAGTTTCAGATTAAAGAGGCAGAATCACGTTTAGCTTCCTTGGGCTGGCAGTGCAGCCTGAGTCCCTCAGTAGTCACCCAGGACGGCGGGCTCTCGAGTGGGGTCGGTGTCGGATGTCGTCGGTCGTTCGGTATGAGCCTGCCGCCTGGGGTTAGTTATCCTCGTCTTCCGAGCCCCCACAGGGTCCACATTCGCTGGATCAACGCGTACGTCCCTGGGGGGTTCCTAGCTGTTTCACTTTACCTTCCGACTGGGGGTATGGCCTTGGGGCCTGAGGGGTCTCAACTTCTAGCCAGGCTGGGGGAACTCCTACACGGATGGAGGCTGCCGTATGTCTTAGGTGGGGACTGGAATTGCACCCCTCAAGCCCTACGTGAATGCGGTTGGGAGTCTCGCTTACGTGCTACGATATGTTCTCCGTCGTTACCTACGTGCAGGTGCGGTCAGGTCTGGAAGGTTCTCGATTTCTTCATGGTCTCGCCTGGGTTAGCTAGTTCGGTCAAGGCAGTTCGCCGCAGCAGAGTTTCAACCTTGAAGCCTCACTGGGCAGTCCAGCTCGTGATGCGCCACAAGGCCGTGCTGCCAGAGGTGCCGCGCTTGGTCAGTCCCAAGAGTTTCCCGCGAGATCGTGCTGAGCTTCCCTTTGGGCCCCCGACGGAGCCGGTGGACTGGGGCACGCTCGCGGTGCGCCTCGAGGAGGCTCCAGATGCGCACAGACTCCAGCATTTCTTTTCCGAGTTCTTGGGCCTTTACGAGGACGAAATGTGCAGGGTCTTCTGCCTGGACCAGGAGCTCGGGGAAAAATATCGTGGCAGGGTCCAGGGTCCAAAAATTCAGAATGTCCCCGAGATTCAGACCACTGGTGGTCCGTATCCTGTGGGGTGTGCTCTGGCCAGGGGGTGGCGTTCCCTCTATATCTGGATCCTGGAATTATATTATATTAGAAACAAGGGGGTGTCTTGGCTTGGGGTTGATACTCAGTGTATCATTAACAAGATCGTCCGAGGCCCTCCGACCCTTAGGAGCAACCAGGAGTGGATCTCCTGGAGCCCATCACGTGCTGTGCTGCAAGGCGCCTCTGCTCAGGAACTGTATCACTGGGCGACAGACGCTGGCGGCATCGCCGACAAGTTAGAGCGCGCGCAGGTCGCATCGCGCCAGACGGCTTGGAGGAGCTGGGTCAAAGAAGCGGTCAAAAACGGGGGGGGTCTTGGGCACCGCTACACCAAGGCCCCCACGGGCTGGGTCCCCTCGAAGCCCTCTTCCCCTGACCAGGCCCCTCCAGGCCCGCAAGAGATTCTAGGTGACCTGACTTCCGAGTGGGAGGGGATTTGGAACACCCCTGGGGGGGAGGTTCCAGATGAGGATCCACTGGAGGTTTTGAACGATCACATCGCCAGCCTCAGCGATGAGGAGTTTTTCGGCATGATGGAGTGGGACTTCGACCCAGCTTCCATCCGCGCATGCTGCAAGAAGTTTAAGGCGAGGACGGCCCTGGGCAGTGACAACGTCCACCCGAGGGACCTCCTCCATGTCAGTGACGAGTGTTTACGAGCTCTTGCAGGCCTTTGGAAGGCCATCCTCAGACTTGGTTACGTCCCCAGTCAAATGAAGATCATCCTGGTGGCTATGATTGAAAAACCTGATGGGGGTCACAGGCCTATCGGGCTGCTCTCGGCGTTCGTTCGGGTGATGTCGCGGATGCTTCGTCGTGCTGCTGTCTCCTGGGAACGTGACCACCAGCGTGAATACTTTTACGGTAGTGCGGGCCGCTCGTGCGAGAGAGCGGTCTGGGAGCAGTCTGCTATGGGAGAGTTCGCCCAGAACACTGGCACGGCTTTCGCTTCCTCCCTCCTCGACCTCACCAAGGCGTACGAGAAAGTGGCGCATATTTTGTTGGTCCAGGCTGCCATTAAACACGGTTTCAATGTTTTGGTCCTGCGGTACCTTCTGACCGTCTATAGGGGGCAGCGTCACGTTCTCCTGGGAAAGATGTGTTCTCGAGGTGTAATTGCCATCCAAGCTATCCTGGCGGGGTGCACGTTTGCGACTACCCTCCTGAAAGTCTTCCTCCTCGACCCCCTTGATGCGCTCGCCGATGCCTTCAGATTTATCCGAATCTTTAACGTGGTGGATGACATCACCCTGTGCATGGCGGGGAAGGGCAAGACAGTGTCCAATGGTCTTGGCCTCGCCAGCTTCTTCCTGTGCCAGCAGCTCGAGAGGTTGTGTCTTATCGTGTCCAGGACCAAGGGTGTTGTAGTCGCTACCCAGGGATGGATTTCGAAGGATATAGCAAGTAAGCTGAAGCGTTGGAAGTTCCGTCACAGCCACTCCACCAAGAACTTAGGTGTGGATTTCAAGGTCAGGGGAAGATTGAGTGCTAGAGTTCATCTTGGTCGCATTGGGAAGCTCCAGCCTAGAGCCCATCGGTTCAGGGCCCTTCGTTCTGCTGCAGTGGGTGCCAAGCGTATTTTGAAGACTGGAGGTCTACCCGCTGGAATGTACGGCGCTAGAGTGCATGGCGTATCAAGCAAGAGACTTGGTCAGATCAGAGCGGTCATCGCTCGCAGCGCGTTCGGCACCTCGAGGGGCCGTTCGAGAACCTTGGAGTTTCAGCTGTGCGCCGACCCGACCCTGGACCCCACCTTCCAGGCCAACCTCCTCCCCCTCCAGTCCTGGGTGCAGGCCTGGAGAGAGCAGTGGTTGCCCAGAAGCCTCCTCACCAATATCTTCGAGGTTGCCCTTAAGACCCCTGGATTTGACTGGAAGCAGGTCCATGGCCCTGGGGGCGCTGTTTTATGCACTTTAAAGCGTATGGGCTGGTCTGCATGCCATCCCGTTGTTTGGAAGGACTCCAGAGGTATGTTGTACGACTTCGGTTATTTGGAAAAGAAGACCCTCAAGACCCTGGTCCTCTCTGGCACCAAGTTGGCCTTGCTGCAGGGCCTCAAAGGTACATCTTTCCATGGGAGTGTCTTGGCAGGAGCCCCGCGCCTGGAGCCCATCATCGAGGTCCTGAGGCAGTTACGTTCCCGAGGCCAGATGGCGAATGCAGCTTTTTTGGCTGGTTCCGTGTCGGGCGGCTACCCGACGCAGAGCATCCTTTTCAGGGACAGACGGGCGACCAGCCCGCATTGCAAGTTCTGCGGCGCCCTCGGCACGCCCCAGCACAGGATTGTAGGCTGCCCTGCGACGTGGTGGACTCGCAGGGAGTTGGACGTGCCTGAAGCAATCGCCGACTTCGAAGAGGCTCCGCCTTACGACATCGGTACCGCCAGATGCCTTGTTCCCAGCCTGGCTTTCGAGGCCCCTCCCCCCCGTCAGGATGCTGCTCAGGTTTGGAATGTTCTCCCCCCCAATGGCGTCTTCCGAGGCAACGTGGCGA